CCTACGGAACAGGAAATTAAAGGTGCTGCGGACAAGTTGGCCACGATGATCAGCAGCTCACAGCCCAGCGCTGTGTTTTCTATCATCCTGACAACCTTGGAGCCCTTCCACATCTGTGGCTGCAAGCCAAGCTTAGCATCTCCCTGACTTCAATACAAGAAAAGTTTACTCGCCTTTTCATGTCCATTGCGTCAGAATTGTGGCTGCGGGGCGTAATTGAGACGGTTGAGGAGGTCTTTGCACATGCTGCCCGGAGCTTCACCCTCCGACTGGCTGAAACGCTCTCGCAGTACATCTGTTCTCTTACCCGAAGGGCGGAGTCCCTGGCCACCCCATAACGGAGTGCCTGCTGTGTGCTACTTTCTGGTTTCGCCCAATCCTTTCTGAGCTCATTGTGGCAGCCAGAGAGAGTGCAGAGGTAAATCGGAAACGTGCCCCCAGTGGCCCAGTCAAAGTTGTCGTCACGAACCAGCCCCACTCGCGGCGTCACACTGGGGTCGACGTGGTCAGTGGTACCACGGCCTTATTGGCGTGGTTTCCGGCAAGCTGGGCCAGCAAGATCGCGCCATGTTTCTTGGGGGAAGCTGGCGGCAACACTCAAGCCCCACAGGAGGTTTCCTTTTCCTGTCCCCACCGAGTATTTGAGGGCTTGCAGAGAGATGTAGCTGATCAAGTCTTGCAGGCGGTTAAATTTACTGATAAGAACGCTCCAGGATTGAGCTTGGCCTTGGATGAGGAATTTCAAGCAGCTGACTGCTTTTCAGAGCTCGCCCGAGGATACACACAAGGGGTGGTTGACCCTTATATAATGATGGGCCTGCAACCCACTGGACACAACCGAGTCAATCTGGAAATAATTGTACCGTCCGGTAAAGGACTTACGCCTGAAATGTGGAAACAGACAGCCACCTTGTGCCCGCTTGATTGGCCGTCCAATTATAGCCTTCTGAGATTATGGCACACGCCCAAAAGCTTCCACCAATATGCTGCTCAACTCAAGCAACAAGTTCAACATCAACATATGTTCACCCATTGGGAAGTCAATCGCGCTAAGCTAGCCAGCAGAGTGGTGTTCCAACGACCAGCGTATTATGTACCGGAACAGACTTTGCAACAGCAGGTACGAGAGCGCGTCTTCCCTGATCGAAAACTACGCAAAAGAGTACCGGATATTGACATAGCTGCGTTCGAAGCCACATGCAACGAAGTACGTCGCTTGGCTGCAATAAAAGAAGCAGAGCACCCGGTCTCCTTTGCCATTGGGAATAGCTGGAATGACACTCTCCGAACAGACAAACGCCATCATCTTGAATACAGTCAACGGAGTCAGACATAACCCTCTTTCTTTCCCCTCCCCTACCCTCCTGGGTCGCACCTCTCGTTTCACCTTTTTGTCTTTCTGGACTTTCTCAGTCCCTGCTTTGGCCCCCTAGTTCGCTCTGTTGGGCCCTTTTTGCTCCGGTCGGACCTAATAGTGGCTTCCTCTTCCGGCCTTTCGCGTCTTTGCCTGTGCTGTCTACCTGGGTCTGTTAGGCCACTGGTGCATCTGTCCATAGACGCGGCAGGTGCATTGGGGTCTTACTTTCCCTGTATTACGGCCGAGCTTAGCATTTGTACTTGTGTGTCTGTCCGTAGATGTGACTGGTGCACTTGTGCTCCCTAATTCGTTTTGTTTTGCTCGTTTCTTTCTACTGCTCGCCCCTCCTTTTTTCTGTCCTCCTGTCGTTTCGCCCTACTCTGGTCCTGTGCAGTGTGCCTCTCTTCTGCTGTGTCTGTGCTGTTCTCTTTTTCCTTGTCTGTCCTGTGGCTGTTTGCTTGTGTTGCCCGGTGGTGCTTGTGTCTTCGTGCTATCTTTGGCGCCGCGGGCTCGTTGTCTCTGTTGGTTTGTGCTCCTCGCTGTGCTTGTGTGGGCCTCGGTGTTTCCCGTGTTGCCTGCCCTCCCTTGCTGTGCTTCCGGCCTTTGCTTTTCTTCCTCCCCTGCCCCGCGTGTAGTCTCTTTTGTGCTCTGGTCCAGCTCACACTCCTGTGTGCTGTTGCCTCCCTCGGAGTATCTGGTTGCAGCTGTGACGGCTCTGTTGCCCTGCGTTCTTGCTGGGAGTGTGGTTTAGCTTTGCTTTCCCTCCGTCATTCGGTTCATGGCAACAAAGGCTTCTTGCCCTGTGTGGGGTGTTCACCCTCTACACCATGTTACTGGTGGCGTCGGGGAGCTTAGTTCGGCCATACTAAGGCATTCACCGTGATGATGATCCAGGCACATCTTAGACTCCGCTAAGCTGCACTGTTGCTATTCTAATGTGATGTGTGTAGCCTTCTCCGCCCTGTCTTCCTCTGCCTACCCGGCGCCCCCTCCTTTGGTTGCCGCTCGGTCCTTGTGTCCTGTTGTTTCTTTGGTGGTCTTCCCGCTTCCACCTCTTCTCTGTCTGTGTCGTTGTTGGGCCGTGTGTGCTTCCTCTGCTCCTTTTACTTTGCCCTCTGCTTTGCCCTCTGCTTTGCTGCTCTCCCTCGCTCTCTATCTTGGCCACTGGTGCATCTGTCCATAGACGTGACAGGTGCATTGGGGTCCTATTCAGGCACAAATGAATGGAGAATCGGTTGATTGTAGGTACGTTTGTTTTCTGGTGTGTGTTTTTTGTTGGTTCTTACACTGAATGAGAGACACTGACACTGCACTCTTGCGACCCACTAAGGTGACTTAGGACAGGCGTTTTGCCTCTGCTTGTAAAGGCCGTCCTTCTTCGGCCTTGCGTGCTGGCTTAAATTTTGCTCTCTAAAGGGGCTGATTGCGTTTTTGCCTTAATTTGTTTGGTTGTGTTGGTTCCCCTGGGTTGTCCTCTGGCTGGGTACTCTCTGTCGGGTGCTGAATTCGACTGAAAGGGGGCGGTAGTTAGCCGGCCGATGCCATGGACCAGCCTGTGCTGCAGCGAGCTTCACCGGTGCTTTCCGGTGTTTCTCCCTGTAGGACTGCCTGGGGCGCCCGCGAGCAGCACAAGACTGCCAACATGGTTCGTCATTGGACAACAAGATGTGGTAACTCTGCAGCTTGTCTACTCTCTGGGTGAGTGGCAATTTAGCCGTGGTTTTGCTACAATGCTACAATGTTTTCTGGTACGTACTGCAACGCACTGCGGGTCCTTCAGGAACGATGACATCCTGACATGTCCTGAACAGTTCTGCAGTTTGTATTTCCTGCGAACCTGCTTTCTTGGACGCTACACTGCGACAGCACTGGTATTGTGGCAAATGCAATGACAGTTTTTGCACTCAAGCTTTTTCTGCATGTTGCTCAGCTTTGCGGATACTGGCAAGTAAGCCGCTGACTGTGACCACACAACGGATGGCTGCATTTCCCCTATGAAACTAGGGGCATGCTCCCCCGTTTGATTTCTTGTCGATAATGGCATGTTTGGAAGCCGCTCCCTGGCCTTTTGCTTCCTCATTGTCATTGCTGGCCCCCCCTTCCAGGGGGGTTCTGATTTCTTTGACCATTGGATTTGTGATCGCAGTTGACAGTCAAGAGGATGACTATTACGTTCATGAAGGCCCACTACGAGCTGACCTGAGAGGACTCTGAGAGAGATTTCGTGGTAGTCTGGCTTCGTGTACAGCTAGGCTCATGCTAGGGTTAACCTCCGAGCTGAGTCTTCATGTCTGCCTGAGCAGCTGCGACACATAATTCGTTTGTTTGCATGTTTTTGATAGGGATGCAGTGGACTTTCCACTGCTTCCTGGTGCAAATCGATTCTGTGGGTGTTTTCGTTTGGGCTCTGGCCCCGTTTTGTTTTGGTGTTTTCCTGCTTTTTGTTTCGCTTTTTCCGCTGGCGAAACGCAAGTCTGGCTGGGGGATTTGCGGGTCGTCGCTTTTGGTGTGGTTGTTGTTTCTTTGTTTTGCTTCAATCGATTTGCTGATTTCAAGGACCGTGCGTCCTTGTACAGATGTTTTTGCTGCTTACTCACATGTAAGGACCGAGCCATTAGCGCGACATCGGCCAAACTCGAGGGAAAAAAAAAAATTGGCATTTCAGAACGTTTCTCAGTGAGCAGATGGGTTTCAACTTTTGTCCTGAACAACCGTGCCTAGCTAGGGTACCGCAGGGAGCAGTGTTGATGCATGTGGATGACTCGCTATTCTGTGGAGACTATGAGTATTTCCATGGAACCTTCTTGAGAAAATGCCAGGAAAAGTTCCAAGTGAGCCATTCAGAGTTGGGCGACACGGGAACCAGTATCAGCTTCCTCAAGAAGAAGGTGATTCAGTTGGATGATGGAATTCTGATCACCCCAGGGGTTCCAATTGAAAAGATAGTAGAAACTTATGAAAGTGTTTTAGGTGCTGTGAGAGCGCAGATGGTTCCTTGTGACAGCTCCATACAACTGGAAGATGTATCCCAAGCGTTGAAGCCTACGGATGCGAGCAACTACCGCTCCATTGTGGGCATGGCTCTGTATCTGGGACGTGACAGACCAGATGCAATTTTCGCAATCAAAGAGTTTGCAGGAAGAATGAGCAGACCCACTTTGATTTCACTACAACACCTGAAGAAACTTGTGGGGTACTTGAAGCACACTGGAAATGTTGGGGTCAAACTTTCATACCCCATGCCTGGCCAGGGAAAATACAAGACTTCAACTGAGAAGATGTGGATCTTAGAGACCTACTCAGACGCAGATTGGGCTGGAAATAGGGCACGCAGGAAAAGCACATCCTGCGGAATCCATTACCTCAATGGAAAGTTTCTCTGTGGCAGCTCAAGAACACAGAAAGTAGTGTCCTTGTCGTCTTGTGAAAGTGAACTCCATAGCATGGTTTCAGCCATTTCAGATGCTATCTTTGTGAGAAGGTGCTTGGAGTTCCTCTTGGAGACTTTGGTTTTGCAGGTGCACTGCACAGATGGCAGTTCCTCAAGGCATTTGGTGTCGAGGCAGGGATGCGGAAAGATAAGGCATCTCTCCGGAAAGTTACTTTGGGTTCAAGGGAAGATCCATGAAGGAGAAGTGCAAATATGCCAGATCCCCACGATCCTCAACTCAGGGGATATAAGGACAAAACCTTTAGCAAGAGACGACTCCTTGCATTGATGTGCGAGGTTGGGATGATCTATGTGGAAACCATGCAACCTGTGGGAGAGATCGGGAGTGCAGAGTTGGTTGAAAGCGCAGCAACTTCCAGGAGCATGAACAAGCTGGCCAAGACGGTGATGAAGTTGATGTTGATGATGGGCCTTGGGCCATTGGGCGCAGAAGGCCAGGAGGAGTTTTGCAATACGGCAGAACAACATGGAGCCAATGAAAACTTCTGGATTGCAATCTTTCTCTTCGCACTTGTTCTCTCATGGATGGTTCTTGGTGTTGCTGCAGTTTGGTTCTGGGGACGGCTTGACAGAAGGTTGTACTTCAACGAATTGCAACAGGCAGAAACAGATAGTTTCATGGGGGCACAGCGAGACGCCATTGATGACCTCCGACGTCACGTGCAAAGGGTAGACAACGACCTACGTGCCCATGTGGACCAGTACGAAATTGTAACTGGTGTGATGGAAGACTTGGTGACAACAGTTCACTATGGGCTGGTGGAAATAGGTGGTTTGGTCAGACATACCGAGCTAACAAAGCAACAGAGAGAGTCAATGCTGGTGCAAGAAAGGGCAAACCTGGTGCTTTTCAACATGAGACAAAGGGCACCAGATACTACAGATGTTTCTATGGCATCAGCAAGACCGAGTGGAGCCTTGTCAAGTTCTGCAAGACCAACCGCAGCAGATGGAAATCTCAACCAAGAAGGGGGTGAAGAAGAGCTACCGATAGAAGATGAGCATATGGATGGACCAGATGGATGGAGGCCCAGAACAAGAACATGAAGGGGAGCTGACACGACTCCTTAGAAATTTGAGAAATGTGATCAGTGACAATTTGGCTTCGAATCAGTACGAGGGTGGAGTAGAAGTTCAAGCGGCCGTTTTGGCCGTACTGGATGCGATAGAACAGAGAGCTGGATTGACGGTGGAACTAGCTACAGTGGTTCAAAACTGCTTCCAGCGCTTGTACAGAAAAGCGAGAAACAGAGGTGACGAAACTATGGCCAGAAAATACCGCAGCTACGTGGACGATTTTCAGTTGCTACTGCGGTGAAAAGTTTCAACATCAACTTTGCCGATGGTCATTCAGCAAACAGCTGGCGGACGGTTTTTCAGAGTTGATGGGATACCGGGAAATCCCACAAACCCGGCGTATGAGTTTGCATGAAAAAAATCCAAGTGGAAAGATTCAGATATCCACTGGTTTGAGCTGAAACTAGCAAAACAGTGAGGAGGAGTAGTCGGAGTGCTTACTTTTGCAGCTAGTGCCCATGCCATGGTTTGCATGCATTGACAGTTGGATGACACACGCAAATCGTGAAGTGCATTCATTTGGAGACCATTGCATGATGAATATCATCATGGATTTCAGGCCCAAACTTGCGAGGTAAAAGGTAGCGCTTGCCGTGCTGTCAGATTCTTTGCACATTTCAATAACATATAAATGTAAATATAAATATAAATGTAACATAGACCCGGGCAAGCCGGCGGCGGAAGTTTCCCAAACATAAATGACCTATAGTTCAAAGACAACCTGTCCCGACCGTGTCCTTCCCTCGACAACCGTTTGATTTTTTCAGCGAGAGACGAAGCAAAGTCTTCACACTCCACACTCCACACTGCACTCTTCGCACTCCAAACTTGAAACTTCACACTCCACACTTCACACTTCACACTTCGCACTTCACAGTCCACACTTCTCACTTCCCACTGCTTCCTTCACACTCCAAACCTCACACTTCACACTGCGCGCTTCGCACTCCAAACTTAAACTTCACACTCCACACTTCACACTTCTCACTTCCCACTGCTTCCTTCACACTGCACACTTCACACTGCACTCTTCACGCCCCGCACTTCAGATGTCACTCTTTTGAAAAAGATGAAAGCCTTATTTCTCCAGACAAAAATTTGTGAAGTCTCACAAATAAGGATCAACATGAATCATATCTGTTTGGTGGTAAACAAACGTTTGATAAGGGTTGAAACATCCAACCGAATGTGGTGACGCAAACAATTTGGCGTTCAACTTCCCATTTGAATTTTAAATATTTTTTCGATGTGGCATTCAACAACTCCAATGGAAACAACCACATCATTCACACGTCACATCATAGTTTATGATGTTGTGGCTTTTCCCAATCAAGTGGTGGGAGGGCGGGAGTCCCTTTTAAATAAGGGCAATTTTTTTCAGCCTCACACGCTGAAGGTCGCCAGTTCGATCCTGGCCAGGTGTACTAAAAGTCTGGAATCCTTTTCACAGTTGGAACACGCTGTCAACTTCGCTTTGCAGCTACTTTCCTTTTTGGACATACTACATTTCACAGGGGATGGTTCGGGTATGTCCATTTACAAATCTTCGTATTGGTCCCTGGGCCCTGGGTGAAGTTTGAACCAAGTGCAATCGAACAATTTTGGCCAAATGCTGAACCTTTTGCTGATGTATGGGCGTTGACCTATTTTTGCATGGCAACTTGCTCTTTATTGGCCATTCATCGTTCAATGGAGGCAAATTTTCAGCAGTATTTCTGTTGGGTCGTAGACTTCATTTTTCAGCAGGTGGTTTTGCAAATCCGTCGAGAGCTTCAGCGTTCAACTGTGTTTCGCGCCCTTCATGATTGTTTCTGCATTTTAGGGAACTGTCACATTGTCCGAAATTTGCAAACGAGGAGTGTTTTTTCTCAGTGGAACCGAACATCGAAGCAGCTTGTTATCAACGGCGACTCAACAGACTCCGGGAATATCGCAATTGTGGGTCTCTACAGGGCTATCTACGAGTGGGGAGCAATCCACTGCGTCGGCCTTTTGAGATCCTGGTTAGATTTTTACTCGACGTGCAGCCAGTTTGTGAGTCCTGACTCAGGGGAATTTTTGGCCCAGTTGCGATTCCGATGTGGAAGTTTTCTACAAATGTTGGGTCACTTCGCAGGTACTGTTTTCCCTTTTTCATTTACTCTTGACAGTATTGTGAACAAAGTTATCTACATCGACTGTGGTTGTCGCCACTGTTGCGCTTCCATACAACGAATGGTTGGACGGCGCTCCAGTTTACGACTCTGGGCCTTTTTATGCTTGATGAGCTTCCATCTAGCAGATGGAGCAAACCCGGGACCGGACCATCTCGGCAGTACAGATGAGTGCCTTGGTCCTGGAGGAGATTCATCCACAGACACCAGCACTTCGATGTCATGGCTGGTACCTGTTCTTTGTTCAACGATCAGTTTGTTTGTCACTTGGGTACTTCGGAAGTGGTGGAATTTTTTGCCACCAGCAACTGCCTTGGAGGAAGTTGGTTATGGTACACTTGGGTCAGCATTCGATCGTATCAACAGTGAGAACAATTGTTTGAGACGAGAAGTGAGCTCCTTAAATGCTGCGCTTTCGGAATTATTCTCCGTCGCTGGAAGGCTCAGGGAGGACCTCGATGGGACCACTGCAGACCACGACCGTCTAGCCGAGCAAGTTGGATGGCAGCACGTTGGAATGGTGCGCCTTGGAGGTTTCACTCCCTATCAGAACTTGTCGATCCAACAAAGACAGCAAGTCTTTGCCCGGGAGAGACGGAACATGATGGCATACCGCGCTATGGGCCCTGACAGGTTTATGTCAACAGTTCTTCACCAAGACAGGTTGTTGGGCCTGCAAAGCGACTTCAATGTAGTTGGAGGAGTTGGTGCAAGGTTGGATTACCCCAGGGAGGAGGCAACTGCAGACACCCAAATTCTCATTGAATTCAATGATGTGGGGGACGGATCATCATTGCCTCGAGACGTTCTTTGGGCAATCGCACGCAACAAACTACAAATAGAGTTATACAACTGCCTGGTGAGGGAAGATTTTACCAGAGCTCGCCTATTTCAGCAGGCGCTCCTATTCTTCATAGACGTTTCCCATCAAGATAGACTCCTGAATCGACAAGACCAGGTTCGTCTATTTACATATCTGGGGGACCACCTCGAGAGTTTGTCGGATGGGCTCCGTGGAGAAGATGAAGCGCGAGCCAACGACTATCTAACCTTGGCTAACAGGTTTCGTAGAGTGGCCTTATCGCGCTGAACCTAGAGGTCGTGGAGGACGCGGTCAAAGCACACTGTGATCCTGTTGGAGGACAATACATTGACCAGTGAACGGTGGAACAGGCCGGTTTTGTCGGGAAACCGAGTTGTTTTGAAATTAGTGTCAGAGTCTGGTGACACTAATCTCGATTGTATAGGTCGAGAGTTGGAAGCCAGGTAACAGAGGCCTGTTGTCTGTTTGACATATCATACATCTCATGGCACACAATGATTCCAAGCATGCTGGATGAAACTAAGTTGTCATGAGGTATTCAGTAAGCCCTTGATTTTTCCGCGAATGTCCAGTCGCGAAATGCTACTTCAGTTCCATGCTAGAACCAAGTTCCGGACAAGCATGCAGTCGGGAATTTAGTGTTCGTCTTTCATTCAGGTTCAAGTTTCCGGCAATCATGCAGTCAGGAAATGGACATTCGTTTTTCTTAAAATCAATCTCCTGACAATCACGCAGTCGGAAATTGGATGTTCTGAAGTGGCAACAACCGCATAGTTCTCAGTTAGGCTGACGTCTCCGACAATCATGCTGTCAGGAACTCGAAGCCCACTTCTTTCCAAGTCACAATTTCTGACCATCATACAGTCAGGAGTTTATACGTTGGTCTTGCAGCAACCACATAAGTTGGGGTTTTTGGGACCCGTGACATTTGTTGCCATGAGTCGTAGGTTTGCCGGAAGGCCTCCACCTTTATCGACTCATCCAAGCGGCAGGTATTGGGGTAAGCCTCCAGCCTTGACGCCACCTGGGCACAAAGGCAAGGGAAAGGCCAGCGGCAATGTCTTTTCCGCACCAGAGGAGTCCATATGCGACACGATCGACCACAGCAATTTGCGGGGAATTTTACGGGACCTTTGCTACTGGCAGAGCCACGTCACAACAGTGGAAGAGCTTGCTGGCAAGGTGACGTCCGCCGAATGGTACCCTTTGCTACTGGGCAAACTTGCCGAGTCGGTCGTTGTAAAATCTGGTGCTCCCAATGTTGGCAAATCCAGGCTAGCAGTTCACTTGGCCAAGACCCTGGGATTGACGCGTACAAAAACTACGAGCAAAAATTTCTGGCTGTTTGCGCGAAGCCAGAGGCCTTATTTTTCCCTTTGGGTATACTGCACGGATTCATTTTGGAGTGAAGATGAACCGACGTGGCCTCGGATGCGACAATCCATATCATCTGTTACCTCGAACGAAGAATTTGCTACAGGAGCAGTCATTCTCGAGGGACATCGAATTTTTGCTTTTCCAGGGTATGCAGATTTGGCCACCACTGTTGTTTACCTGGCGGCTACGGACAAACTTTTGTTTGAGCGAGGAACAGAGGCTAGGTCGATCCGGAAGCACAAGCTTTTCCTATCGAATGTACTGGAACAACTTCAGAAGCTCAACAAGATGATCATTCTGGAAGGCGAAAAATCTCAGGTCTACCTGGTGTGCCAAGCCTTACAAATCACCCTCCTAGAGGACGCAGCTCTGGACGCATCACATCTGTCGGCGGACATCGAACTCGATGGGAGATGGACATTTTGAAGGTCGACGCAGGAAGTTTGTTTCTGCTTAGCCGTGCAACAACAATTCATGGTACAATTTCTAGGTTTCACAATTCACTGGCCAACTCTTGGCCTTCCCTCACATATGCTATTCTTTCGGGCCGTGGCAATCGCTGTGTACCACTCAGGCAGGTACAAACCTCAAAGCAGGACAATCATGTGGTCCAGAGAAAGTTTGCCTTCAACCGTCAATTGTTCGGGGGTCAGTCGGGACGCCTGAAGGCATTTCAAGCATTTCAGGTAACCGATGGATTCAGTGTCAGGCGCTTTACTTTGGATCTTGGATCCTGAAAGCATCCCAAACATTTCAAGAAACCATGGGATTCATTGTCTAGCGCCTTTTATTTTGGATCTCCGACCCTCGAGGGCTTCAGATTGCGAACTTTTGTGCTATTCGAATCATCCGTTTGGATATTTTGGATGTTAGACATCGAATTGGATG